GTTGTGCAAGATTGACTTTTTTGAACCCAAGCTACATATAAGGTATTTGAGAAACTGAAGCATTCTATGACATAAGCTTCGGTATTAGCATTATCTAACTTTGATCTTTTATTTATAGCTGAATGTGATGCATTCAAAAATGAGTTAGGAGTTATCTTTATGCAAGAGAATGGATTGATTGTATATTTTAACCTTGCTTTGAAAGGAAGGAGCTGCTTATTATCTACCTATGAAAAATAATTGATAGCTACTGGTTTTAGTAGTAAAAAAAATGGAGGCCATATTTGTTGGGATGCCATTTTGTACGCATAGATCAATAAAGCTTCAAATATCTCTACAAGTACCGAATAACAACTAAACCATATCAAAAGTGGCTAATAAAGTTAATGGGATATGACTTTTCCATTGAGTTCATTAAGGCTAAAAAAAAAATAATGTGACGACGGATACACTATTTAAAAAGAACGAACCGAATGCCATCTCAAGCCTTTTGCCATAATGTTTAGAAGCCGTCAATGTTAAAAACCTTTCCCATTGGGAGTTGCTATAGGTGCACCGAGTTGTATGAACAAGAAGAAAGTACCAAGCCACGGAAGAATCGAGGTGGAATTCGTTTTTTAAGCACCGAATTTACCTACCCACAAATTCGGAACTAATTCCTATTATTCTCCAAGAGATTCATGATAATGGACATGAAGGATTTTACAAGACTTGCCACGAGTAAAGGAAGGATTATATATATATATATATATATATATATATATATATATATATTATCGAAAGGCATGATAAAAACACCGACAGATTATATCAATCAATGTGATGAATATCAACGCCATAAAGTTTGTTGCTACCAACGTCGAACGGGACTCTCGAAAAATCTAAAATCCGATATATTTTTATTTACGTAAATTATTTTCAAATGTAATCTAGATTCTGCATTTCAAATAATCCAATTTTAACCTTCAATCTTTAATTTAATACAATTGCCTCTTTGGATGTCAAGTTTATGTTATTTTTTGTATTTCTCTCTCTTTTTTTTTTGTAAATTACTAAGTAGAATGAATAAAGAAAGTAAAAAAAATAATTAAGATAAAAAAATGAAATAAACTTAAAATGAAATACAATAAAATAAATAACCAACTAGAAATAAAAATCTTGAAATTTTGTTTATAACAAAGTTGACCATCAAACTTCATCGAGTCTTCTCAATCGTTACCCATCGCTACAAGGGTATGGATTGATATCGGATTTCATAAATGGAATTCCTCATTCAAAGGGAAAACAATATTCATTGTGGTTAAAATATGCACACTTTATCCCATTGACACATCCTTACGAAATACTAAGTGCCATAAGCATTCTTTGATAATGTTTTCAAGTTTCATGGCATGCCAAGGTCCATGTGTGTGATCGAGATTCCACCTTCTTAAGTACTTTTTGGAAGAAGCTTTTTTAATTTACAAGGAACTAGTTTCAACCATAGCACATCTTATCACTTGCAAATAGACGGACGAACCAAAGTCGTCAATCAAACATTAGAGATGTACCTATGTTGTTTCAGCAACTTCTAAGCTTCATGAATAGGTACCATGACTCATTTGGATTGAATTTTGTTATAAAACAAGCTTACATGCTTCAACTTGCAAAACTCCTTTTGAAGTGGTGTATGGTAGATAGGGGTAAGCAAACGAGTTAAACGGTTCGGTTTTTGGTTAATCGAATTAAGAAAAATAAAAACCAAAATCGAACCAAAATAAATTCGATAAATTCGGTTTTTAATCGAATTATTTCGATTTGGTTTCAAAATATTTTGATTTAAATCAAAATATTTTGCTGGAAAAAAAATTCCGGACCATTGTTTCATTGTCTTTCCTAACTCACTACCATTTTCACCATTTATCGTAAAAAAAAATGACAATAAGAATGGGACAAGGCCATGTAACTCAATATGGGTGTATAACAAATTAATGAGCTTCACCATTTGCATGCATAACTCTAAGGATATAACCCGAGAACCATATATCTTGTTCATGATCCAATATACGAAGCAATTAATTAGATTGAGTAAGATTTTATTCAAGCGAGAGCGAGGAGCGAGATGTTACACATATGCAATCCAATCCAACTTACTTACATTACAAACTCAAAAACGAAATTTTACAACATCCTAATAATAATTTACTTTGATTAGAAACAGAGCCTATTCGTTCAAATAAGTAAAAAGATACTCACACAATACATCAAAACAACAATTAAAACTTACCATGCAACTAGCTAGTAAAGTTACGGAAAGGACATGATCTGTTTTTAGTTTTTCCGGACGTACAAACGTGTGTGGTAGTAAAGTAAACTACTCACTTCCTCTCGCAACTCAACTTGCCTTCTAACTAGGTGTGCTATTTCGACACTATATTTTCACACAACAACCAAACTGAAAAAATACGCAAAATTCACTTGACACATCTAACTTCTCCCATTTACCACTTTGTCCATCCACGATAAAGAACCCTTCGCTCCACATGCATAAGCCGATCCCGTCACAAATGTCATTTCACTCGGCGGAACACCACAAGCCCCTATTTTCACTGCCGACTCGGACTCGACCTAGCCGAACAGGTTGCTCATCTTTGTCCACTCCGAGGGAGGACCTCGGGCACTCGGGTGACTTTCCGCGAGTCTTCAACTCGCTTCCACTTACTTGCTCCGAGTTCATGGTACATGGAATATATATTTAATGGTTAAAGGAAAATGCTTTATTGAAATTGTGGATCCATTAGTGTCATACCCAAAATTTGCAAGAATACCCATTCCCACTGCAACTAGAGGCTACTTGGCGATTTATTTCAACAATCTACTCGAGTGACGGGGTGCTCCACGGAATTATATGAGGAGGGTGGTGGGTGATTGGGTGGTGACTCGGTGAGATTGGAAAAGGAGACAGAGAGCTAGAGAGAGAGAGAGAGAGAGAGAGGTGGGTGTTAAGTGTGTTGCAATTGCTATCTTTTTGAGGTAGAAGACCCGATGATGAAGAAGAGTTGGAGAAGAAGGAACGAAGGATGGGGAGCCGGGGAGATGCGGCTGAAAATTGATTTTGATTTAGTGAAGTTAGCTAGTTAGGGTTTTAGGCGGTTAGTATTCAAGAATTTTTTTTTTTACTTTTAATTTTTTTGGTTTTTGGTGGAAACCGATTTTTTTTTTCAAAAACCGAACCGAACCGAAATAATTCGGTTTATTCGGTTTGGTTTTTAATTTTACAAATTTAAATTTAAAACCGAACAAAAATACATAATTCGATTTGATTCGGTTTTCGATTAGCCGAACCGTTTGCTCACCCCTAATGCCGGATCGTATCTAATTTACTAACCTATGTACCTAGTAAAACAAAGGTGGAACCAGCAGAACAAACATTGCTAGCCAGGGCTCTTAGGGACTTAAGGTCTCAACTACAGCAAGCACAAGTAGAATGACGGCAACATATGATAAAAGCAGAATGGAATGGAAATTTAAAGTTGGTGACCGGGTATATCTGTGCCTACAACTATATCGCCAAACTTTTTTGGTGCTGCATTAGTCACAAAAGCTGCCATCACATTTTTTGGGGCCATATCGGGTGCTGGAGCGAATTGAAACAAGCTTATCGCTTAGACCCACCTCCAGGGACTAAGATTCATCTTGTGTTCCATGTATCCCTTCTCAAGAAGCAGTTGAGTGTGAAGAGCAAAGTAGATTCATGTTTGCCGGCTATGCCAGAGGGGTTAGGATTACTACATCTTCAACCTACTACAATTCTAGAGGGTCGAAAGAGACGTTGAAAACATGAATTGCTCGTCCACTGGCACGGTCTTCCAGCTACAGACGCTGCGTGGGAATAATAAGAATCTTTTCAAGCAAGGTTTCCTGCTTTTACTAGTGGTTGAGGACAAGAACCTTTTTTAACAGAGCAGGAATGTCACGTTTATGCCTTAGCTTCCATTATTTAAGTTAAATTCAGTTGTTAATGTTGTAAATTGAGTCAGTACTGTATTTTCTTAAGTTAGTAGACATGTAAATGCAGTAGTGAGCTATAGTTTAGCTACTTTGAGCTATTTTTTAGCCATCCACTCCTTGGCTGTTTTAATTGCTATTTTCTAGCTTAGTGTTTATTATCACAGCGGAGTCATATTTCAGTTGTAAATCTATATATATATATATATTTGTTAAGTAATGCTTAATAAAAACATTCATATAAAATTTCAGAACTTGTTTTTTGAACATACTGTCTATATTTCTTTCTTTTGTAAACTGTTATCTGCAACATATATAGCAGCTCGAGGACGAAGATGAAGTCGAGGAAGAGGACGGGTCGTGATAGTATATTACTGTTAATTTTAATGGACGAGTTGTCTACAAGCTATCTTAGAAAATACAAATAAATTAAAAATCATGATTAATTATTTTTCTGCATAAAAGGATAATTAAGCAGACGTACGCATGATATATAACACTTCACTGATAAATTTATCATTTTTTTTCTCGCACTTATTATAAGTTAGTTTGTTAAGTGCTAACGTATCACGTGGTAAAAAAAATGGAAAATTACAAACTACAACTAAAAATTTGATTTTTTTTTTTTGGAAGTAAGATGCGCATGCAAAACAGAATCACTTCTTTTCTGGTTGGATTTTGAGTTTTGGATGCAATATGTAACATGCTGTGCAGCAGTAAGAATTTGTCAATGGCTTTCCACAGCAGGCCCAGCTCGACCTTCTAATTTTTATTACCCCATCAAAAGAATGGGCTGGAGGCTGGAGCTGGACGTAGCTAGCCCAAGACATCAGATTAGACAGTGCTAGATTTAAAACTCATTCTGTTGATCGAAGCCACGCAAACCAGACCAAGATCAGATCAGATCATCTCGTTCTTGGAAGTGGAACATGAAGCATCCTAATTATCTTAGCGTTAAACTTCCTTAATTTTTTCGTTCAAAGTCACTCACTGCTCTCTTACTGCACTTCACTATGGAAAATACATCGGTTTTCCTTCACTCTAAACCAATTCCATTCAGTTTCATGATCTCCAATAGCAACAACAACAGAAAAATCTCTTTCAGGCATTACAACAAACACTTTCAGTTCCATTTATCAAATAACAATTTCCTCTTTGGTCAAAGCCTTAAACCCATCAAAAACCCTTCAAATCTTTCTTTTACATCATATCAATCAACTTCATCACTGAAAATAACAGGAATCCACTTGTTATCTCCTCCCAAATGCTCATATTCCGGTTCTACAAGCACGAACGGTTCCCAAAACTACCCTCTTTTAAAACCTTTCAAAAGCCTATCTCTTGAGAAGCTGAAAGCAACCCTTTTGCAATTAACCCCAATTGATATCATCAAGTGGTCGGCTGTCTTTTCAATTACAATTGCAGCCACAAAATGGACTGTGAATTTGGTCCTGAACCCATTTTTCTGGATGTATTTTAGCTGGACATGGTTGTTTTGGCCATGGTTTGTGGCTATATCACTTGCTGTTTATGGGATATATTGCTTTTATAAGCATTCGATCGGTGAAGCTAGCATTTTTGAGCAACTTGGAATTGTTACATCAGTGTTCACTTGGTTAACTCTAGTCCCTTCTGCCCATTTCAATGGATACCTACAAGGATGGCCTTTCGTGTTCTTTTTCGTGTATCATTATTTCTTTTTCTTCAATGTAAGCGTGAGGAAACGTTTGTATGGAGATTACTATGCACGTCCGCATGACCCGAAGTGGGATTTAAAAACACCCAGATGGTGTCGCCTTTTGTTCTGTGTTGGGGTCATGGTTGGGCACTGGCTTGCAGCTTTTGAAGGGCCAGAACTGCACCTTATTCCTGGTGGGTGGAGCGATGTGGGTATCTGGATTTTGATATTGGGAACTTTGTTAATGCAATATAATTCTACATTTTACCTTGCCAAGTATTCAGAGAAGGTGGTGGAGCCTACTGCTGTTGTGCAATTTGGACCATATAGATGGGTCCGGCACCCAATCTATTCGTCCACAATGCTTCTCTTTGCAACTTGTTTCATTGCGCTTCGTGCACCTTTGAGCGTGTTGTTCGTGGTAGCAGTATGTTTGATGTATTATGCACAGAAAGCAAAAATGGAGGAGGATCTAATGATTGAGACTTTTGGGGAGAAGTATCTAGAGTATATGAGTAAAGTTCAGTACAAGTTCATTCCTTTGGTTTATTAGGACGGTCTCCAGGTATGCATTGTTGATTTTTCAATGTGACCAATTTCTTGGATATAAGTAATTGGATTTTTTAATGAGTGGGAAAAGAATTGGATTACCCAACGTGCAATTATATTTATCGATATTCATGTCTTTCGGCTTTTCTTTATGTAAGTTTTCAGAGTGCTTTGTTGTGACTTGTAATATCAATCCCTATGTTTAACTTGATGCCCTAGTTTACTGGCGTTCATTGTGTTGATATGGATTGTGTCATTGTAATTGCATGTAAGATTATGGTTTTCCAGAGATAAGCTTGCTGGCCAAAAATCATAATGTTGTATCTGCTCATTGCTAATTTCTGGTTGCCGCCTTCTTGATGCCCATGAGTAATAGTGAACTTGATTCTTACCTGTTTGTTGAATTTCAGACAGGAATTATAGAGTGCTCGTTAAATTCATTATGCATGTTAAAGTTGCACGTTCTGAAGCAATGTTAGAGAGATGCACTTCAGCTAGAATGTACATTCAATTGGCAAATCCCTCGAGCAAGCTATAATTGGTTAGAAATCATAAAATTCTCAATTAGTTTGTTATACATATTTAGTTGCACATTTAGAAGTGATGCTAGAGAGATGCACATAAGCAAGAATCTATAACCACTTGGCACATCCTCTAGATGGAAAATTCACACAAATTGAACAAGGAAGCTATGAAAAGTAATTTGGGTGGTTTATGGAAAGATTAATTATGTTTACGAATTGAAGACTTTTGATATTTGCAGTTCCAGAAACAAATGTTTGAAATTTAACTGTAAATCAAATGAGTAGGTTTAAGAGTACAATTTAAAGCATCCTAAGGAAAGCAGTGGGAAGACCAGGTTAGGACATTAAGGGATGTGCGTCATCTAATATCATTTGGTCTAGGCATTTTTTCGTTTTGATATTGCAGTTCCAGAAACAAATGTTAGAAAGTTGACCTTAAACCTAATGAGGATGTTTAAGAATATGAGTAAACACATCCTAGGGAAAGTAGTGGCAAGACCAATTAGGACAGAAGAGATGCCAATTTTTCTTTTTTTCTTTTAGCATTTGAATGAACATCTTTATTCTCAAAAAAAAAAAAATAATAATAATAATAACGTTACCATCTTTTAATGTTTCCATTTTTCCTGCTCATATTATTGCCTACTTTGGCATAGTCCAGTGCTTAGTAGAAACTTTTGTTGGTCTAGCAGTGTGCTGTATTGGTGATAACCCATGCCATTTTGTTGTTCTACTGGTCATTCAGTATTTGAGAGATAATTGTTACTAGGATTTCTAGTAGTGAATTAATATGCGGCTTGTTTACTCATCTACACTGTATTTTTCTCTAGAAGTTAAAGAACTCGTCTATTCTGTACATTAAACTGCGTGGGCATTGGTCTTTGGAGATCTTCAACATTCCACATGGCTGCTTGCTTGTCATCACATGGTTCTTTGCTTTAAAAAATTTGAGCTCGTAGCCTTTGTCTTTTGCCTATTGAATTAAATAGGGTTGTTTCAAGAACACGATAAAAATTTGAGGCTTCCTTTCCTCTTACCTTGAAAGTCAAGTATTCAACTGTGAGTTTATTTGTTTTTTTAAAATTGCTAACTGATAATCTACATTTTATTCCATCTTATATTCTTCAACATTTTACTATTAATTTAATGCCTCCGTGTTCGTGTTCACTTTTGGTGGCTCTGGTTGGAGTTTTTATCCTGAATCGAGATCATGCTATGATACACATCCATATATAGTTAGTTAAATTTATATGATCTTAGAACTTTGTTCTTTTTAATTCCAAGTTAGAGAATTCGGATACCAAGTTATATAATGTACAAAGTGGTAATGACCTTATGGGTTTTGTGAAATTAAGAAGTCATCGTTTGGTATTATACAAAGAAATCCATGAACTTGATATAGTGTGCAAATTTCCATAAACTGCAAAGTTATGATTTAAAATAAAGTTTTGTTAACACCTCTGTTAAAACCTGCAGCAAGGTGCTGCCAGAATGCTGGTTGCTGGTTATTTGGAGTAGCACAATTCAGTTGTTATTAGAACATTGACATAGGGTGGGAAGAGGAAAACAGCAACAAAAGCAATCTAATGGCCAAAATTGAACAAAATTGAAGCTGGAACAAGATAGTAAGGTTTAGGGCTCATAAAGAAACCTCTAGAATCTGAATAGATTGATAAGTAAACAGAGATTGTCTATTAAAATAGTCCCAGCATCCTATCTACAAGTGTTATAGCCCTATATCTTTGTAGGAAAAGGATTCACTAGTCTTTGTCACCTGGCAAAACCTCCAAGGAAATATTTAAAAGGTCACATGGTAATTGCATGACCTAAATCATTTATCAAAAACATTATTTCAGAAATAAAATAAAAATCAAATTTAAAGAAAGCTCCTGCGTCAACTTGCTTGTGTTACTGTTTCCTTTGCTCTTTTTGAGAAACTATAAGGAGCTTGCCATGTGCATCGAATGGTAGAAACAAGATAATTAATAGTTTAGATCCCTGGGATTTTCAGAAGATGCTTCAAGGCATTCCCAAGATTACATTCCTAGAAATTTTAATAACACACAAATAATGGGAAATTTTAGAATTGGTGTTCCATCATGAACAGTTCACATGGTATTTTAGGAGAAATGTCATAGGACTTGCAATCACTATGATTTGAATCCTCTATTCGTATGTCTTGTGTAGAAAAATGTCAGCATAGAATGGTATGGCTAGACCTGCCTGGTGTGGTTGCATTGAATTCATTGTGTTGCCTATAGATCTGTAATCCATTGAAAATTTGCTTTAAACCAATAAGGCTTTTTTTTTTTTTTTTCATCCTGCAAATTTTCATCCGATATATTTTCTGGAGATGACTGACTTCAAGAGTTCACAGCCTTGACGTAATTGAAATATTTATGTTTGAGCTGTGGGAAAATGCTTATTTCATTTGCTGGGCGTCTTTACTAACCGCACATAATAGTAAGAATGTGACTGAAAGACATAGAGCCACGATTATGATGGCCTACAAAAGTTTGGCGTGATTAATACTTCCCTTTTACATTCCAAAGTTCCCTGTTTTTATCATTTGCTAGCTCAGAGTTTTGAGCTAATCACATGCAATATAGATTGAAGTCTATGCGCAAAATGCAGCATTATAAGCTGGTTTCTTCCACCTCTGTAGATACTGAAATGAAAAAGGCTGGGAAAAGTTCATTCTGCAATAGCTAGTATACCCAGCTGCTATCCTGGTCGATGATGATGGTTAGTCAAGTCCCTTCATGTTTTTAGTGAAAAGCTAAAATAAAATACGTAGATGAATCAGTAGGAAGACAGCAATGAGCATTAAAAATGATTCTATCTATGACAGACTACAATCATAATAGAATTTCATTAGATGAGATTAGATGGTATAGGTTTTATATCTGAGAATTTCCTTCTTGATCATTAAAGAGTCATTCATATTAAGGGCATTTATATGCAATACGATGATGCAACTATGTTGCTATTAGACAATTATTTGTTCAATCTGGAGACCTTAGACAAAGTAATTGTCCATCAACATAGAGGCTTTTGAAGTCTAAAAAACAAGTTCAGGTTTCTAGTTTTCTAATCTGGGCATTTACTTTACAATTTCTTGAGGGCTTTTGTCAGCTGCCGCAAAATGATAGTTTCTGCAACTTTCTGCGAAAGGGGCTCTTTCCTTTGGTAATTATGTTTAGATGTTGTCCCAGTTGGGAGTCGTCAGTCTATAGTAAAGTCTAGTTTGTTTTGCAGTAAAAAAACATGTAGGAAATGTCGTTGAGCAAGGAGTTTTCCTATCCAGAATTCCTTTGCTTATTATAACATACTACAGAATCTTTTTTTCCCCATTAGATTTATGGACAATACCGAGGATTTTTAAGTTGTGTTATAGGCTTGATGTCTAGCGGCCCCCGCCCCCCGGTGTTCTTTTATTCTCTGTCCTCTTAATTATTCCTTCTTGCCTTTTACTCTGCTACTTCTCCTACAAAATTAGATCTGATTCCAGCAGCTAAACCAGAATTTCAGCTTTAAATTTTATATTTCCAAATCCTAAGTAAACACATAAACAACTAAGCACAAACGTGGCATTATAAATGTTATATTCTTATACAGGCCTGCAAATGTTGTTTAGTCTATATTTGTAGAATCATGCATTCCAATTGTAAACAATGTGCGTTCTGCAATTCTAAATAATTGTGCTTTAATTTTCTCAACTTTTTGTGCCTCCTTTCAAAGAGCATGAGGAAGATGATGTTGTGATTCCGTGTATGATGTATGTCTATAGACCACCATCAGGTATTTTTTGTTATCGAGCTCGTGTTGCTAGGAAATACAAGTGTTGTTCAGTGTACTTCCTGTCTTTCATTCTCTGCTTGGAGTGTTCGCTACTTTTACCTGCCAAAACTTTATTACGACAGATAAACTTCACTTGTCATGTTTTGACTCCCCTTCCACCTTTGAAAGGATAAAAATTCTATGAACCATTTGTGATGTATCTTAGCTTAACATTGATCCTAATACCAACTCTAACTGCATCCCTTCATGACTTGAAATGAAGTGTTCTTGATTACAGTGCAGAGTAGGTGGGTTTTGGGGATTTCCTCTTCCATATAGGTAGTTACAGAAGCGTTGTTTTTGGATAGGTCTCAGCAGTTTGTGCTTCCTGTAGAAAAGGTCTCTCTTCTTATTTTATTTTAGGGTCACCTCTTTGACTTTTTAATAGAAACATTTGTATCTCAATCGAACAAGGAAGACTCGGTGTCAACAGATCTTGATGTCTACAACACCATGAAGCAAAATCTATGCAGTATAGGTGGGTCTTATCTTTTTTATAATCTACAATTCAGCTGGAACTGTTATGCCATGTACCAATCTGAAGCTGTAGTATTGTGACACGGACTACATTCTTTTGCAATCTTGCATCTCAGGGAAGATGACACAAGATCCCCAATAATTGATTGGTATTACTCTGTAG